AAAAATAACTTGACCTTTGGAGACATCATTAATATAAATAATTTTTATGGCCGTTGAATAAGAAGTGTTTCTTTCACAAGAAATGTATAAAATTAGTGCTGTATTAGACTTACGGTACCTAATTTACATACTGTACAGATGATAATAAACTGAACTTACTAGCCTAAAATCTCCGTAGCGTGTTGCCAGGTGGCGGAAAGCATATATATAATTATAATAAAGTTACAATAAATTAAGTTAATATATAATTATATATACAGTACCTAATTTATATATAATTAATATATAATTATATGTACAGTACCTAATTTATATATAATTCTGTATAGACGATAGTAAACTCAATTTACCCGCCTAAACTCTCATAGCGTGGCGCTGGACGGCAGAAAGTACTTTGGCTGCCCGATGACGTTTTACCGAATTATAGGAGTTTTTTTTACCATGTTTGTATGGATACTGTCACAGTTTTTTTGCCGTCATATAGGAATCAGAACTATAGGAGCCCATGTTATAAGGGGGTCTACTGTATATATATCAAACATGAATCACTTTAGTTGCTTCAAGGATATATTTTATCGATTTCATACGATATATCATTAAAATTTTATCATTATTTTATTAAATTACTGTAAGATATTTTATATAATTTTTCCTTATTTACCTTTCTTGTTTCCCACACAGTAGCACTGACAGAAATAACTGAGAGTAAAACAATGCAGACAGCAAACTGATAATATAATTGAATCATCCATATTATTACAATAAACATTTGATAGACATAAAATGGACCTCTAATCTGTCAAATATAAAAGAACTACTAAAATCCATCCAATAAACAAAGCAATTATTATAAATACACCTCACTAACCTTATAATGCTTTGCAGTTATTTTGTAACGTACCACAAATGTTTTCGGCCCACCCTAGGACCTTCTTCAGGTGGAGTATTCATGAATAGAACACTAATCACACCAAAAAAGTTTTTTTCTAGAATTCCACCTGAAGAAGGTCCTTGGGTGGGCTGAAAACATTTGTGGTATGTTACAAAATAACTGCAAAGCATTATAAGGTTAGTAAGGTGTATTTATAAAAGAACTACTTCTAATAGTAATAATAATAATATAACAAGAACAATAATAAAGTATAATAACTTAGAATTTACCTCATTCAAAATAAGCTTGTAAATTGGTTTCACTTCAACAAAGATAGAATTATACCCGAATAGCTGAAGACGATATAAAGCATCATCATCATGTAATCCTTTTGCCATTTCATAAAATCTATTGCAACTAAGTCCACTTGAACCAGGTAAAGTATTTGTAAGTCCACTGTTATGAAATATAATAATGTAAAATAATTTTAGAATAAAAATTACTATGTACAGTATTTTAAAAAATTGTATATTAAATGAAAACATTTATAAGAAATAATATTATCACACACAAATATTAATATAAAGTACAAGGTGGTATCAAAAAGTTTCCAGACTAGACCTATAGCAATTTACAGGATAATGTTATTAGAATTTAATTGCAATCCCCTTCAAAATAGTTTCCTTGAAAGTGTATACAGTAATTGCAATGCTTCTTCTATGACTCAGATACTGCAGAAGTCTTCTTTCCAATACTGCCTGCGATTCTGCTTGGATTTCATTGATGGCCCTTTCAACTTCAGTTTCATTAAATATTTTGTGATAACTATACCAGTTATTTAAATTTTAGGGCTTATCACACCAGTGAATATGATATTACCAAAAATTTCTTTAGTTTATTTTATATCTAAATTTACAAAAGAATAAAGAAATTTTATAATGTTTGGTTACAGAAACATTATTATGATATTTTGAATATAATATCATAATAATTTTTCTGTGACCAAACATTATAAAATTCCCCTGAACTGTCTCTTGTGGTTGGTGTTAATTTGTTTGCTCTTGTGACTTGATTCACTTTTGTTTTCTTGTGGAAAAATATCTCAGTTTCCATCTGGAAAAGGGAAAACTTTTTTGCCACTATTTCAAGATGGATCACCACAACATGTAAGAAAATGAATCAAATGTAAAGAAAATGTCTCAGGTGAGTCAACGGAACAATTGATCTTGTCTTATATAAGTGCTGAAAAGGAGATTAATATTCAAGAAGGAATAAGGCTTTCATTGAAATTACAAGCCTCTTAAAATAGTAAATTAAAACACTTTTGGATCATTTAGATAGAATGAGAATATGACTTTGGTAGATGTTGAATTATCTCCATCCTTAAATCACATAGAGAAAAAGTTTATGTTAAAAATGGCAAAACAACCACAGAAATAAATGTAAGTTGTAATAATTTGCATGAAAACTTGATAAGATTAGAAGATAAAGAAAGAGGAAATAACATTGTAATCTCAGACATAGAGGACAATATAAAACAGATGATTGTTCAGTTAAGGTTCAAAATCTTTTTAACAATAAATTAAAGGTTACAGTTGTAAATATTAAATATGCTTTTAGAACTGAAAAATTTTAACCAAATATAAAAAGTTGATTGTTTGTGAACTGTTTGATTTTGAAGATAAATTAAAAGTTATAAAAATATTAGTAATTTGAAAGGCTTAAATATATTCATTAATGATGATAAATTTTATAATCAGACATCTCATAGCCATGAAGGACCTGGAAGACACATTGGATGCTTAATTGTTGGACTCAGATTAAACAATATCTAAGGTTAACATTAGAAGGAGACACCTTGATTATTTGTCATTTTAACAGTGACCAACAAATTGCTTTGAGAGTTTTGAAGGATTCTATTGTTAATAATAGAGGGAAACAACTCTATCATTTTTGTGAGGATAACAGTCTTATTTGTTTAAATAGTTTATTGCCAGGAGATAAAGAAGGAATTTTTACTTACCAAGCAACTAAGGGAGGCAGTGTAATTGATTTTGTCAGTGTCAAAATAAATATATTCTCATATTGTAAATGATCTATGTGTTTTATCAGAGATAAGCTCTAATCACTCACCTATTTTTCTTTCAATGATCCCTTTGATATCATCAGGAATTCCTAATAGACAATTTTTTGGTAAATGTGCAATATGAATTTAAATCTTCATTTGCTGCTAAATTGGATAATGTTTTATTAGATGAATACAGAGGAAACCTCACAACTAACGATTTGATAAATTGTATAGCTAAGGTGGCAATCTTTCTAGATTTAATTTATGACATTAAATCTGTAACTTGCAAAAGGCATATAACAAATGCATGGCATGATAGTGAGTGTTATATCACAAGAAAAAATCTATGGAAATTGTTTAAGAACGTGAAAAAATTAAATATGGATGAATGTTATGTTTTGTATAAAAATTATTTAAAAGAACATAACTACTATGTCAAAAGAAGTCTTATTTTCAAACTTAAATAGGAGACTGTGACAATACAATAATTCTAAAATATTTTGGCAAATAATTAGTTTTAAACATAAAAGTTCTTTGGGTTATAGTTCAAGAATTCCATTGGAAAGATGGTTCAATTATTATGCTACTAAATTCTCTAAAGAATATTCTTTAATACTTATTAATAATATTTATTATTATTATATTTATTATTTATTTATTATTATTATTTTCTAAACATTAACTTACTAACTAACTAACCTATCATAACCTAGGNCTAATAATTAATAATACTTATTAATTAATGAACAATTGTCAACGAATGTGAATAAAGTGTTTCAATAAAAACAGTATGTTTTACAGATTTTATACTGGAGAAGCTAAAAGAAGCTATTAACCATTTTAAATCTGGTATTTCACCTAAAATTGATTTTATTAGAACAGAGTATTTGAAATATTTTTCAGAAGTTTCTTCTTATAACATTAGAAGTTTTTAACTCTATAAAAAAAAAAATTCTACTTTCCCAAAAAAATGGATTGAATCTTTGATTATTTCAATATATAAAAAAGATGATGTGTATGACTCCAAAAATTATTTGCCTATATCTTTGGTTCCTGTAATTGGTAAACTATTTACATTTTTATTAAATAAAACATTAAAAGATTGGATTATTAAATATGATATTTTGTGTCAGGAGCAAGCATGTTTTTGACCTGGCCTAACTTGTCAGGATCAAATATTTGTATTAAATGCATTGGTGCAATTAAAATTTGCAAAAAAAAAGAGAGGAAAACTTTATGCTGTCTTTGTGGACTTTACATCTGCTTTTGATACTGTTAATCATAAAGTTTTATGGTCTCAATTAGAAAGAATGAGCAAGGATAAACAGTTTGTTGGCCTTATAATTGATACATATATACTCTAAAGCTACTGCAAAAGTAAATATTTCAGCCAAAATGACAGATTCATTTGGTATTGACATTGGAGTTTTGTAGGGTGAGATACTGAGCCCACTGCTTTTCAATTTATATGTTAATGATTTGATAGTGCAACTTGCTAAATCTGACCTACCTGGGATTTCTCTCTCTGATCAAGTTGAGATACATCTGTTAATGTATGCTAATGACACTGTAATTCTTACTGATACTCCACAAATGTTACATTAAAAAATTGCAATTCTAGAGAAATTCTGTTATGATTATTGATTAACTATAAATGTTTCAAAAACAAAAGTGATAGTATTCAAGAAGGACTATCACCTAAAGAAAGATGGCTTTTCAATAATCTGCTGTTACATGTTGTTTTGAATTATGTATACCTGGGAGTATTATTTTTGTTTTCTGGACAGTTTTTACAGACTAAAAGTTACAGTATACATAAGGCTAATCTATAAGACTATATGTGTTCTATACATAGAACACATATAGGCCATATGTGTTCTATGTGGCCTATTCTTTCAAGAGCTAAAATTAATTCTGCTCATATATATATATATATATATATAAAATTATTTCACTTGATGATTTAATCTGTATTACTTTATGTTGCTCCTGTATAGGCAATTTCTTACAATGAAAAAGTGGAAATTGTTCTTGTTTTATATCTTCAAAGAATTTTTATGTTATATGATGAAATTCCTGCTTACATGTTGCATTTGGAGTTTACTGTTTCAAGAATATCAGTATTAATAATAAAAGCAAGTTTTTTTGGATCAGACTGTTGAAATTAGATGACAAAAATTATGTTAAAGTAGCATATAACAAACTGTATAGTGTTCAACAATGAATAATTATACATATAATTGTTTGTTGGCATTGAAAAATCTGTTAGATTGACACAATTTTTCATTTCTATGGTTGTCCCAAGATCCTCATTTGATTGAAAGTTATCAAACATTAATTATAACATTGTGTTATGAAGAAAGCATACAAGGAGATTGGTTTTAGTAGAAAAAGCATAAAAATTTTCAATTATATCATATTTTTAAAACAACTTGTGTGTGAGGATTATTTGTTTATGTACATAAATTATCATATAAAATGATTAACTCTGCAACTGAAATGTGGTGAAAATTATATTTTGACATATAACAGTAGACTAACAATAGACCCTGAGAGAACTATAGTATGCAAATGTATGAAACTTGGGAACATGTATTCTTTCACTGTATCAAATTTGAAACAAGTAGGAAAAAGCTATTTGACAAGTTTTAAATCATGGAAAGATATAATTAATTTATAGCGTTTTTCAAAAATGATAATTATTGTATATTTTATTTTGTGTTATCCGGTACTAAGCTATTTCATTAATTTGTTAAATTTTACTAATCTCAGATTTATATAATATGTATAAAAATGCTTATTATTGTGTTTATTGTACAGTACTAAACTATTATATTAATTTGTTATATTGTACCAACTTCAGTTTTTATGTAATACTCTTGTAACAAACTAAGGTTCATACAATAAATAATTGAATTGAATTGAATTGAATTGAATTAAGAAATAAAGATTAAATAAACAAAGATACAAGTATTTCTTTTAAAACAATCAATCTTTTTAAAAAATCTTCTTAAAAAATTAAAAAGCTTTAAGGGTTAATACTGAATACCACTGTTGTTTTCTATCTATAACCACATTTTATCAGTGACAAAAGCTACTACGGATTACAATTGTTAGTCTTTATTACACAATGCATTTCGAGTGCAAAATTTTTGTTTCTCTTCAATGACAAAAGGCTGTTAGAATGACGCCTCAAGGACAGGACATCGATATAGCAGATTGCTGTGTTTTAACATAAGAGATATGCATTACTTGAAGAGGGGTCAAGTTAAACAAAAATTTTGCACCCGAAATGCATTGTGTAATAAAGACTAACAATTGTAATCCTTAGTAGTTTTTGTCTCTAATAAAATGCAAATATAGATAGAAAACAACAGTGGTATTCAGTATTAACCTTTAAAGTTTTTAATTTTTTAAGAAGATTTTTTAAAAATTGATTTTTTTTAAAAATATAAAAAAACCACATCATATGTAAATATATATATTTGTTACTTATACAAAAAAAAAAAAAAAATACAAGTATTAAGTACAATAAAATTAAAGTATTGGAATATCATATCTTGTAATTATTTACTCTTGTCTTTTAACATTTATCATAAAATAAGAAAGAAACAGATTATGAGTAAACATGCTTTTTGATTAACAAAATTTATTAATTCTTATTGCTATTAATTATATTGATATAAATTATTACTATTTCAATTATTATCACAGAAATAATAATTTTCAATAAAACACTTAAAATTATATCTTACCTAATTCTATAAAACTGAGAAACATCACTTTTCCAAATGTATTTTATTTTTTTATTATAAAAATAATTATCTTGATTTGGTAACAAATTAGAGTCTTTAGGTTTAATAACAGTTTCAACATACTCTTCATTATGGATAGTCTGTATAGATTAAACATTTTTTATATTTAATATTTTAAAATAGACTTAAATCAAATGCATTTTCACAAAATTAAAAATATTATTAACCAACATTTAAAAATGTTCAAATACCTCTTTATAAAAAAGTAATTACTGCAACATATCATTAACAACATTAGTCTGACATAAAACAATAAGTCTTAATTAAGGAAATAACAGAATCATTTATATTATAAAGCACTTTAATAAAATGAATTTAATTTACAGGAAAATCATATACATATCTTCTTTAAATAAGTTTTTAAGTACTTTCTTTGAAACAATTTTTAAAGAAATTCAGAATTGTCTTACAGTTGAAAAAAATTATAGACAAGAATTAGAATTACTTAATACTGTATAATAAAAGAATCTATTTCATTTGTGTTTATATTATTATTAGTATGATCTTTATTATTATTTTATTGTAACTCTTTGATACTTATCTACTTATGAAAATTTCTGTGCTTAGAATGCTAAATAAAAAATATAATAGAATAAATTAATTTTATTTTATAATAAACTTTTTATCATTTATTGTTTTTTAATTATTTATCATAATATAATAATTAGCTACCATATATTGTAGGTAATGAAAGCATCAGTTTGCTTCTCTAGAGAATCCAGATTGAATCCTTATCTAAACATTATTTGCAAGTAATATATCTTAGATATGTTGAAATTATTTCATCATCAAAATAACCCTTTTATGAATTTGTCCAAACTGATAATGAACATAAAATAGAAAAATTGTAGTATTTTCTAATTAAAAAGAATCCTACCTTTAATAACACTTTATCAGCTTTTTTCAAAGGACAATTTGAATGTGTCAACTTTAAATATATGCTAGGTTTCCATGTTAGAAGCAAAATTAATGTTCCACCAGAGAGAATTAAACACACATATAAAAAAATTGTCTTTGTGAGTGATTTTCTGTATCCAAATATTGTCTATGTGAAAAAAGAAAAATTAATTAATTATTGGTATAAAATTATATATAATACTATAATGTTACATATATATATATATTTATAAACAAAGTATTTCTACATGATTTAACAAAAAGGAATTTTCTCATATAATTTTTCGATAAAGATTTTTATAAAACATTTTTTTATCTATTTGAAAGCTTTGATTTAGAATATGATGATAAAAATGAGTTTTAAAAAATTATTAAAAACTATTAAAAATGAGTTAAATCTAACTGTTGTAATATTATAATTTCTAAATTTAATACTTTGATATCAGTAATCATACTGCTTTCACCTACAACTATGAATTTATTCTTTAAATACATACTACAAAAACTTTTATTGCAAGATTACAGACTACAAACAATATATTATCTATGCTTGATACTTATTGTAAACATTACAGTGTTTTTATGCTAAGTTTCCTCATAAACTAATAAATTCATTTTGTCATTAATCCATGTTTTCATCAATAATATTAAAATTCTGTACTATGTTAAACATGTTGAACAAACCATGCTTATTATGGTTTGTTTGTAACAACTATTTCATATGTCATAAGAACTAAATGCAAAACAAATATACTTGTTAATCTGTGAGACAACTTTCTAAGCAAACATAAAATGATCTGAATAGTAAATATCAAGCACAGCAAATACATTACATTTGTCTGTAATTTTGTTACAAAATAATCTTTCAACAAAACATTATTATTGCACTAAATAAATGAAGAGAAAAATGTTGGGAGTAAAAAGAAAAAGAAAATAAACCAGTTTGTATAAAAAAATTTGAAAATTTTATATATTGTAACATTGACTGCATTCATCAGTTGTAACTGAGCAAAGGTGTTTCAATTGGTAGCTATTATGTGGTTACATCTGCTGAACAATGAATGACTTATGCATTGGAACAGGAAGCAGCCGTCAGGGTCAGTTGTACCTAGCAATAGGTAGCATAAATGAAAGATACTACTAAATGTGACATCAAAACACCAAACATGTTCCAAGATAGTGCTACTGTAGAAGGCATTCAACAGCTCCAGAACTGTTGAGTCTGCTGAACACAGTCATTATAATCATTACGTACAGTTTATTTTTATCATTGCATTTATTTTCAAAATTTTATTTGTGAAAAATTATTTAGGAAACTATTTATTTAAATTATAGTGTAATATCCTAAAAATATACTGTATATAATATTGACTAATATCATGTTTACTATTTTATTAAAATATGATATTATATGTGGAAATAAATAAATAGTAATAATTCTACAAAAGTATTAAAATTACAATACTTCCAAATTTGATACATAAATAACTAATATGAAATGTATAAAAATATCTAAAATAACAAAAAAGTAATTAATGAATCAATTCTGATTGCATTTAATTGTATATCTTAATCATATATGTATTCAATATGTTCAATATAATATCTATTAAAAGTATAATTTCAGATAGTTTTAAAAGATTATAAACCATATAGTAATCTAAAACTTACTGCAGTTATAGAAAATGTAAAACAAAATTTTTTTTCAACCTAGACTGAACAAAATCTTTGAAGGAAGTTGAACTAGCCACCAGTGGTTCACCCAGAGGGGGACCAATGGATCCTTGCACCCTCCAAAGAAAAAGGAAAACAAAGACTGGAAAATTTTCCAAAAATTTTTTCCTAATTAAAACTCATTTTTCATTTACATTGTGCTGTGTCTTCTACTTCTATACTACTACTTATGAATTAGCAATCACATAAGATGGGAATTTTATTGAATTCACATTAAAAATTTTTTTATCTGTTAAACCCTGCTCCTCCAAGATTAAATCCTGAGTGCACCACTGTAGTTAACATAATGAAGTAAGCAATACCTCTTTAATAGTAAATAAGGTTGTAGAAACACTAACATTTTGCTCAATTAACAGGTGTAAATGTAAGACGGCCCATCATCCAGGTTAAAAACATTAATGTTTCTCAACCTTACTCACTGTTAAAGGTGTATTACTTCTTGAAAGAAATTTTACATTATACATTACATTACATTATACATTACATGTAAATATCAGATTAAATTCAATTCAGATTTCATATAAAATCTAGTTTTATATAATGAATATCAAAATCACACCCCAGTGCAGGTCCAAATCTACTGATTGTATTTTATTTTTATAAAGAGGAAGTATTGTTCTCTATATACAAAATTTTATTGGCAAAGGCCCATCCACATAGGAGTTATGAGCAATCAAAATCATGAAATACAGTAAGACCCCAATTAATGATGCCTTGCTTAATGATGATTCAATATAATGCGGTCTGTTTGATGCCTAAAAAAAATGCTCAAAATTTAAGCTGATTCAAATTAACGTGGTATTTCATTGATTCATATATAATACAATTATTCCCAAAAACAAAACAATCAGCAAAAGGTGTCAATTCGACGTAGCGCTGTACTTTCCAGAAATCTATGTTTGTTTTGTGCAATTTTGGAAAAAATATATCATCATGGAAGCCATAGGAAATAGCGACTTGGCTTGGCAAGACTTAACTGATAAATGTACGAACGGAGTGTGGAAGAAGTTATGGCTTGAAGTTTTAAAGGTATCCAAGAATTCTCAATGAGAAGAGCCTATCGCTGTATCATTATGTTGACCAAATTGTCAACTTAATCGATACAGGCAATGTAATGTAAATGAGCAGGATATTAGGGAGTTACTGTAGGTTTCTGGTAAGAGTCTTACCAATGATGACTTCAAGAACTGGTGGAACAAGGAATTCATGTAGAACTTGAAAACAGAGATTCTGAAAGTGAAGAACCCAAAGAACATGCTATAGATTTCTTTAATAAAAGTTTGGTAATGATAACCAAAATTGTTGATCAAATTGCAGCAAATAATCTAGATTTTGAAAGGAGTGCAAAAGCAAAACGAGGCTTTTTGGATGTGATCTTCTGCTACAGACATTTGCTTAAGGAGAGAAAAAGTGACAAAATGAAACTTCACAACTTTATTGCAAAAAAACAAGATTTTCAGAAAAGTCAGTACCTTTGTCACAAAAAATGAACTAATTAATATATTATTATACATTTCTGTGTGCATATGTTTTTATGTGTTATTTAACATATATTATACAAATTAATATAAAAATAACTTAAAATTAAAGTAAATTTTTTTTTATTTTCGGTCGCATGTTCCCCTATCCCTATTTACTCTATGTTAAAATAGTCTTGTTTAACACTGTTTCGCTTAGTGCTTTGATGTCTAGGAGTGCATCCCTGTGTTAAGCGGGGTCTTACTGTATGCATCAGTACATATTTGTGTTAGTGGTTTACTAGCAATATCTGAAATTATTTACAAATATAATTTATTATACAAAATAATTACAATAGTGCCTCTCACAAAAAAATGAGTAAAACAGAGATAAATTTAAAACTTTAAAAGCATTTGATATTTTACCTTAATTTAACTGGTCACTTCCCTCTTCAATGGCAGGATATCCATGTAAATAACAGCCACATGACCAAATTCATTGGTTATTAATTTTGATATAAGGATTTATTGACATTTTTTTTTATTATGCAGAATAAATTAATGTTCTCAGTTTTGTGAAAATTGCTTTTAAACAATGAATGAAAATAAACTTTTAAATCAGAGATTTTAGCTCACATAGTTTAGAGTTTCTACTATACTGTATCTCCTATATGAATTGTCCTCTGTCAATGAAATTTCCATATACAGAGAATAATAACTCCTCTTTATAAAAATAAAAATATAATCAGAAGATTAGGACTGCACTGGATCATGATTTGATAGTGAGATTTATATGAAATAATTTTCAATCTTGCTTTGAAATTTAACAATACTACACAAGTCACTGGCAGAACCAGGGAGGAGCCCAGGAGGCCTAGGCCTACCTTCATAATGAAAAAGTCAATATAAATGCTAAATATAGAAAAAATATTTTAATTGTAGAGTTAACTACTGACTTAGTAATTTATATATGTTTGTTATAATCCATTTTATAAGTATTAAAAGCAAAAATTTATTAAGATATGTATTGATTCATGTTAAATTTTAACTTCAGCCTCATTTACATTAGATCTGGTCATGCTACTGTAATGAGTGAAAAATGATTGAAAATACAAAATGAGCACAATAAAATAAAATAAATTGTTAAATAAGACATTTCTGTACACCTTTGACTAGAGAATCCATCAAAACTGTAAAAACAATCAAATTTCGATTAAAATTTTGCCTGGCAATGTTTTTTTTCTATGATACCAGCTTTTTTCAAAATTACAAGTTAAGAGTTCTGCAAATTTCAGCCAAAATTTCCAGCTAAACAAAGAATAGTGATGACATCATTCTTGTTTAACTCTATAATAGATATACTCAACTTAAATTTTTTATTTTTTAAACCATTACTTCTAGACAATCCAAGTCTAGCCCATCTGGCCTAACCAGCAGGGTGCTGTGACAATTTTCAAAAGAGACCAGATGTGAGAAAACCCATTTTTCATACATTATAATAATTATTATTTAAACACCTGAAAAAACCTCATTTTATTTATACATTATTGGCACATTAATTTTACTTTTCCGGCTCTGTTATATATAACAGAAGGAAAGTAAAGCAATTAGTCAAAAAATGACCGCCCAAAATTTTTACATTTTTGGATTCAGGAGACTTGAAACATCAAGAAATGCAAAAAAAATTAAGGGTTTTTTTCTATATGTATGAACGTTAGGGTATGTGTGTGGGGGGGACACAATTTTGTTCATTCTGTTTGAAGCCAAAGGCAGAATTTTTCTGTAAAACATTTTCTATGAAGAGGTGCAAATGTGTCTGCAAGGTGTGCAAATTTTAGCATCTTCTCATGGTTTGGTTAATTCTTCAATTAAATGGATGAAGAAATCATCTCTCTTCATTTCCTTCGCACGTCCAACAGGTAACTGAATAAAATGAATATTTCTACTTGGAATGCAA